ATAAATCCGATTCGATCCGATCCGTCGGATCCGGATCGGATTCGGATCGAATCGGATTTTTTGCGGAACACTATTCAGAAGCGATTTGGTTATCTGTCTTAGAACCTACTTTTTGCCCTATATAGTATTATACTCATAACTAGATAACATTATAGCGTAACTAGAGAGCACTCTTATAAAAGGGTTCTCTAGTATTTTATTATCATTTTTCTTTTTTAAATATTATTCAGTTTTTTCTGCAAATTTTCAGATTCAGTACTAATGCTATCATCAAAATTATTATTATTAATATCAATTTAATGTTTAGATCTGTGTATATATATTATCCATGGATACATATCCATAATATAAATTTAATATCCATTATCTATATAAAAATTAAACCTAAATATGGATAATTTAAAAAAATTGAATAGATAATTCATATCCATGTTATCCATAAATAATACGGATAATACAAATAATACGGATAATATGGATAATACAGATAATACAGATAATATGGATAATACGAATATCATAGATAATACAGATTATCCAGAATAACATTTATAAACGCATAGATATAAAAAGTAAATAAATAATAAAATAATAATTTTCATATATTTAATATAATATTTAATATATTTATTTATTTTAAATGATTAAAAAATACTTAAATTTCATCAAATTCATTATAAATTTCTAGTGAAAAAAAATTACCTATAACATTATGATTCTTTTTTAAAAATAAAAGCTTCTCAAAAAATTTTAGCTTTAATTGTGTAGGTTTTGCTGTCATTGTATTACCTGCTTGAGAAAATAATCTTTCACTGGATATTGATGTAGCTGAAATTGACAAATATTTTTTGGCTAAATAAGATAAAATTGAAAATCTGTCTTGATTTCCTGCCCACCACTTATAAGGATCAGTTTTAAGAGATACTTGTGGTAATGAAAGATATTCATTAATTTTATTTTCAGTATTTTGACTTTTTGCAAATATATCTATAAGTAAAGAATTATTTGATTCCAATAAATTTGAATCATAATTATCTGATATCCTTGTAGTATTGGTAATAAACTCTTCAGATTCCTTAATAGATTGATATTCATTACGTAAATAAGAGATTATTCTTTCTTTTTTTAAATTAGAAATAAAATTAAGGCCTTTTAAATGT